GAGACTGAAGGGGAGGTCGGATGTGAGACTGAAGGGGAGGTCGGATGTGAGACTGAAGGGGAGGTCGGATGGGAGACTGAAGGGGAGGTCGGATGGGAGACTGAAGGGGAGGTCGGATGGGAGACTGAAGGGGAGGTCGGATGGGAGACTGAAGGGGAGGTCGGATGGGAGACTGAAGGGGAGGTCGGATGGGAGACTGAAGGGGAGGTCGGATGGGAGACTGAAGGGGAGGTCGGATGGGAGACTGAAGGGGAGGTCGGATGGGAGACTGAAGGGGAGGTCGGATGTGAGACTGAAGGGGAGGTCGGATGGGAGACTGAAGGGGAGGTCGGATGGGAGACTGAAGGGGAGGTCGGATGGGAGACTGAAGGGGAGGTCGGATGGGAGACTGAAGGGGAGGTCGGATGGGAGACTGAAGGGGAGGTCGGATGGGAGACTGAAGGGGAGGTCGGATGGGAGACTGAAGGGGAGGTCGGATGGGAGACTGAAGGGGAGGTCGGATGGGAGACTGAAGGGGAGGTCGGATGGGAGACTGAAGGGGAGGTCGGATGGGAGACTGAAGGGGAGGTCGGATGGGAGACTGAAGGGGAGGTCGGATGCGAGACTGAAGGGGAGGTCGGATGCGAGACTGAAGGGGAGGTCGGATGCGAGACTGAAGGGGAGGCCAGGGGGTCGGATGCGAGACTGAAGGGAAGACCGGGAGGTCAGATATATGTTGCAGAATACAGAAGCAGCACGGGTCTCTACACTGAGCTCTCCTCCAATGTGTATATAGACCTGTACTGTGCAGTGATGTCACGCTCATTCATTGCCCTTCCTTCCTCATTCCAGCACGCCTCGTCCAGCTCAGCGGTGACCTATTCCTCAGTACGGACGTCCTCACTTGTCAGTGACATTACGATGTATGTGGCTTGTTATGTGATACTGAGGAGCCCGTGTAGCGCATTTTATATTGTATGTAATAAAATAAAACAAAGGTCAGAATACTAAGAAATGGTTAAAGTCGAAGTTTAGGGTTTAAACATTAAAAATACATTCAAGTCCCTAACTAATAGCAGAAATGTCTCTTATTTGTGTATCACTCGGCTGTACATCCTCCAATCATCTCTGAATTGGTGCTGACACCGTCCTTCCTTCTGGAGGGTGACTACTTTTGTTCCCCGTGGTCCCTGTGTGTGTTGTGAAGTAGTCACCGCTCCAAGCTCGCTCCTGTGATGGACTACAATCTCACGTTTAATTTACTAATTTGTGTTGAGATTGTAGTCCATCCCGGGAGTGAGCTTGGAGTGGTGACTACTTTAGAACACACACAGGGACCATGGGGAACAAAAGTAGGCACCCTCCAGAAGGAAGGACAGTGTCAGCACCAATTCAGAGATGATTTGAGGATCTACAGCCGAGTGATAAACAAATAAGAGACATTGTTGTTAACATTGGAAGTACTTGAATGTATTTTTAAGATTTAACTCCTGACGTTTAGTGTCATTGTCAACCCCCTGTCGGGATTATCTTTCCTGACTTTCTGTTTGAGAAGATCTCCGTTCACTTCCTGTCTAATACACACAACAGGAAGTGTGAGACAGTCTCTGTGAAGTGAGGGGAAATCCATCCGGTCACTAAAACAGGCGCCTCCATTGAAAGATTTCTTCCGGTTTACAATTCAGATTTCCCACAACTTTCGTTTTCCGTGAATACAGTCCCCAGGATCGATAATAAAGGGGAATCCCATCATTGGGGAATATTGCTATTGGGGAACCAGACAGCAGTGACACGGGTTCTAACCCTCCCCCCATTTTATCCAAAATAAAAAAACAAGGCTTTAGATACTTTAGTCCTCCTATGTTCCGATTGTTTCCAGTTTTCATTATTTTTATTATTCAGGATCTTTATAGCGCCAACAGTTTGCCGAGCGCTTTACAACATCTGTGGACACAGTACAATACAATGACATGCATGAGAAGCACGCTGCTCAGGAGAGCTTACAATCTACAATTTGTATGTTAGGAAGCCGGCCAAGTC